ACTACTGGTTGGTGGCATCTGGGATTTGCTCTTTTCCTGACTAGAGAATTAGCCGTGGCCTTGTCCCCACAGTGGCATGCTTGGTCTCAGGAGAAGGAATGAGAAATAAAAGGGGGAAGGATTAAGCTGATGAAAGGCATCCAGTTTCGCTACATGAAGGCACAGGTCATCCACATGCTTCCTTTGCAGGTGTGCAGGGAACAGCCCTTCCTCTGCCAGCCTACCTGGAAGTCCCCCCATCTTCAAGGTTGTGTGACCCATTCCCAGTTTTTATATGTTCATCACATAGCATCATATAGCAACGTTTGATTGCTAATAGACTCAGCGTGAGCACTGAGGAGCTCTAGTGCAGACTATTATCTCCTTTTCTTTTGGAGCAGAACCTTGTCGCTCTACTAACTGGCACAGCAGCTGAGCGAACACAGCATAATGTTCATAAATTATTGCAGGCAATGCCCGTGTCCTCCCCAGTGGTGTGTGGCAGGGTCGTCTGCTCTTTGCTATTTTAGTCTACCAGGGAAATCTCTTCCAGTGACTGTTTTTGCCTGGTACTCTTGCTTTACATCCAGTGCAGTGGTGACACCTTGGTTATTCAACCGTAATTCAGTATATAAAAACAGCCATAACTAGGAACATTGCTTTCTGCATGGTCTTGAGTGCTGAAGCAAAACTTGCCTAAACTGGATGGGGTTTTTTTTTCCAGCAAAAAAGGTTCCAGGTTTTTGAGCAAGATTTTTGTGAGCATTTTGCAACCCTGGTTCACTGGAAATGGACTTTAGATATATAATTCCACAAATGTCTGTGCTGCTGCCAGATTTCAGGTGTGTCAAGATTAGCCCACACCTGAGTGACCATAGGCAGTTTCCAAATTCATGCTGGAAACTTTGCAGGGTTTGAGCTGAGGATCCCGATGCTGCAGCGTGGAGGTTAGAGAGAGCAAAGTCTGGCCTGGGCTTGCGACATCCCCTTTGCACCGACAATTTGCTCCTTGCAGTACATTTTCTAATTCTGTGTCAATTCTGGGCTGAAAAATCTCAAAGAACTTCTCTTAAGAAGTGCTTTTGTGTCACTTGATAAATCTCACCATTAGGATTTTTTTATTCTGAGATTTCATTTATAAAGTGGTAGCCACTGTGCAAACAGAGAAAGCTACAGTCCCAGCCCTAGAAAACTGGCAGTCTAATGATATTAATTTTAAAGGTCCTGTAAAATGCAGTCATGGTTTGTTGTGGCTAAGCAAACATTTTGAAGGATGACATTTGCAGAGCCTCCTTTCCCTCTCTCCCTCCCACCCAGAGCTATTCTCTTGCTCCCCTCTGTGCTCTTCGCAGCTCCTTCAGCCTCCTTCCAGCTGCTGCTGTTCCGGATGTGCCTGGCAGGAAACCTTGTCCGCAGTGTCCAAAGCAACTGGTGAGGTTCAAGCATGTTTGACCCACATTATGTCCCCAGTGGGGGACACAGAGCCACGTGTCCATGTCTTCGTGGCCAGGCTCTTGCGAACGTTTGCAGCTTTCTCCATCAGTCTCAGAAGAAGAAGGAAGAGTCGCCAAAAAAAAACAAGCAATGAAAGCATGTGTTTGCATTTTTTCTATCTCGATACTGGTAATATTGATCTGTCTGTTAATGCAAATGTCTCAGGCATTATATGTTGCTTTTCTTGCCTATTAATCAAAATAATGCAAAATGAGGGGAAAGCAATTTTGGAGGAGAAAGATAAAATACAAGCAGCAGTGATTGAATATAGCCTGCTGGAACATAATGGTGCTGTCTGCCACCCAGCAGACATGAGAGAACCCACAATGCCTGGGGAAAAAAAACTTGAAACATTTTATTTTGGCATTTTGTATACAAAATGTTAGAGTTTTTCATCTCTAAGCAGTGTTTCGAGGGAAGATTTGCCTAAATCTGCTTGTTTTGGTTTTTTAAAAAAAGCAGCCAAATGTTTTGTTTGTATCTGCTGACACATTTCAGTCAACCGCAACTGTCTTTTTTGGACATGCAGGTTTTTGTTTTGCCTAGAAAACAAAATGCAGTGAAACAACTTTAGTTTGCGGATTGCTTAAAGTTAATTCTGCCACCTGCAGCTTGGCAGACCTCCCTGTGGCCAGCAGCGGACGCAATCTCAGCGTAGCAGTCCAGCCCTCTGTGCCGAGACAGTATCTTGAAGCCCCCTCAGTCTCACCAGCCTGCGGAGCAGCCACCCCTCTCCACTGTTTAGCAAAACACCAAAACACGTACATCATATCTGCGGTGTGAATCCTCCCCCTCTACCAATTTACAGGTTGGAAATTGAGCTGGTGCCTTGGTGGTTTGGGGCTTCCGCCTCAAAAAATAATATAAAAACTATAAAAAATAATATAAAGAGCAAAAATGGCCAGTTAAAAAGCTCCCAATGAATCAAAATATTAGAGTCTCCAAATTAGGAAGGCCATAAGCTGAAAGGCAGATTAGCGAAGGTGTGAAATCTCCTCTTTCATTGTTTCTCACCAGTTGGTACCCATGGCTCTGTGCTCCTTTCTTGGTAAAGCCAAAGAGAAGGAAACTACTTCAGACCTAATTGCTGCTCCTGTTCGCTTCTATTACACAAACAATAGGGAGAGTTCAGATTTTTATGTGGTTTCCATGCACAGCATTAGAAGAAATAATTGGGATATCTGAGGGGGAAAAAAAGATCTCTTTTTAACTGACTTGTAGTAACCTCATACAAGGAAATAGTCTTTTGTTTTCTGATATGGTTGATAGCTTTTGCTACGCAGCCTGGTGTTGCATAAGAACGTAATGCAAATAGTAAAGATGAGTAATCCCTGAATATGGCTCCGCTGATGCCAACTGGCCCATATGCTGTCATAAACACTTTTTCTTTTCCTTTTTTTTTTCGTTCTGATCACAAGAGGCCTTTTTGGGCAGAAGTTCACATCAGGCTTATTCATTACCTGCTGTGCTGGGTCCGTACATCTGCAGTGCACCATCCCCACACTGAGCTTTGGACTAGATCCCTGTTTGCTCTCTGATACTCCAAATCATCTGTCATGGACATACACAGGTCTTTTCCTGTATGCATCCTGGTACATTTTGCTACAGAGATCCAAATTGCATTTAAAAGTGATTGATCTTTTGGGGGATATGGTTGTTGATTGCTAGTATTAGGCTTTATATAAAATAAAGACAAATTCCTGAAATTTGATTTTTTAACAAAAATGTCATGGGCTCCTTGTTCCAAAAAAGAAAGAAACTGACTGAAAGTTTGTTTTATAGTTTTCTGAATGCATTTTAAAATTAAGGAGAATGACAAAAATGTAACACCACAGTGAAATTTTGCAGTACCTGCACAAACTTTAATCTTCAATCTTCTTTTTCCTGAAAGTCCATATTTGTCCAAAAATAAAATTTCAGACCCAGGGGTACCGAAGACCATCTTTAAGCTTGCCATGTGATTTTGAGCAATACATCTTGAGAGCAGTGATGTTCAAATGATTCATTGCACTAATACATCACAAGAGCACTATCACTCTCATGATATATTAGTATAATACACTATCAGAACACTATCATTGATGTATTACTCAAAACACAGATTTAACCCTCAAGAAGCATCCCATCTCTAGACTGAATACACTGGAAACTGTGGATAATGATAAGAACAAGCAACAGCATACTCGATTTCTCTAGGGCAAGCTGAGAAAAAAAAAAGAATGGTATTCAGACTATTTCATTAACTGAAGCATCCCTCTGATTTCATTTTATTCACTGAGCAAATGTTTTTATGGATTGAAGCTAACACAATATAGGTGTATTTGAATTTTCTTACAGATAGCCTAAGAAAATCTTTTTTGATTTTGGATTTCATTATAGACTTGAGATACGTTTTAAGAATGCTTCAATGAGGTGCATGAATTTCAGTTGATTTCCAACTCATCAAATTGAGTCAGGTGCAAGCTATCTAAATTCTGTGTAAAGCATTTGGTGCTCTTTCTGCTACAGTCTTTTTTTAAAAGGATTTAGGCACCATCTAAAAAGATCTGGGGATGCATAAATGCGACGTGTCACTCAGATCATTTGCTGTCTCTCCTCAATGAGATTTTTTTTTTTTTCTGAAGAATTATTGTCAGTATGTTTTTTTCTCCAAAGAGAGTCAAAGAGAAAGCAGAAAAGACAAAAGAAAGCTTTGCAGTTGTGTAGCTGAACTTGCTGCAGAAAAGCCTTGGCTTGCTCCGGTGTCCTTGGGGGACGCGAGAGGTGCCTGGGTGTTGCCTGGGTGTTGGGTTACCTCCACGCGTTTCCCCAGGGCCTGGCTTGTCCCCTGGCACCTTCTGTGTCTCCTCCCGTAGGGCCTGGCTCTCCCCTGGGTGCCTGCACCCAGAGTGCGCCGTGGGGGCTTCGCTCCATTAAGTTCGCACTACAGCTTCCCAGAAGGAAAAGCAAAACATTTTAGTGTCTTTTAAACCTTTCAAAAGATGTTTTATTAGACGAGCTGTGCGGCCCCTCTCGTGCTGCCGTTTCTATCTGTGCCGTCTCCCTTACCTGCCGGCAGCTTCCTGCATATCCGCACCTCTAGAGCGTTTTTTTTTTGGGCGGTGTAAGCCTGCCCGGGCGGCCGCTCGCCTCGCGCCTGCCGGCTGCCTGCCTTCGCTGGGCAGATCCTTAGTCTTGTCGGTTTTGAAGTCGCAACACGCAGCTCCAAGGTACGTTGTCAGTTCAAAGCTGTGGCTAAATATGGCTCCGACTGACAACTATGAATAATTCCACAGAGCCCCTAAACTTCCAGGCGTTTCACTCTGAAGCTCGTGTATACAGCAGAGCTGCTCTCTCATGTTTTTTCATCTTTTATACTCTCAGAAGAGTTGAGATACAGTTATGGAACAGGTTAATGCATTTTCCTCAGAAAATAACGCTGTGGGAGCCTGTGTGTCGTTACTTGTATGTGTGGAGAATGGTGCTGACAGTCTAGGAAAGGGAGCAATGGTCTTGGTAACCACCACTGTTTTGTTTCACATTTTCAGCACGTTCATGTCCATGTCCTTCCAAGGAGGGCCGGAGACTTCAGCAGGCATGATAACGTATACGAGGAGGTAAGGGCTGCACTCTATTTCTTGGTCACAGATGTTTTGGCCTTTAGAAAATCACCTTAATGGTACAGGTCCTGCCTTGAGTGGAGTTATTTGAAGCAGTCTCTGTCTTTTCATTGGTTGCAAAGAGATGGTGATAAGCACCAAGCGCGGTACCGTGATTTGTTGTTGAGCTGTGGGTCAAGGTATGGTCCCGCAGGGTCTCAGGGGAGGACGCAGCTGATGGTCTTTGCTACTTTAGTCTGTTCACTGCCCGCAGAACAGGGCAGCATCTCTACCAGTAGTTGCTTTATGTTGCACTGGGAAGAAGGGTGAGGGATAATCACCTATCAAACTCCACGTCTAGCTTGGCATTCAGGAAACATATCCTGCTCTGGCTGACAACCCGGGGTGGCAAACCTCCCCCTCCCAGCAAGGAGAAGCACAGGAGGCTCATTACAAATCGATTACAAATTGCCTTCTGGCCTGCTTTTTTTGCTCAAGCGCTGGACAAATCACATTGTGACTCCGAAGATAAAAATTAAAGAGCGACTATGCATATAGTTGTAATATATGCATGTGTGCAGATTGTGCTGCAAAGCAAGGGAAATAAGCTGTTCCAGTTTGACTGAATAACTGGCTTTTGTTTAAGTGCACAATTGTATTGGCATTAACAAAAAGTTTTCCCCAGCTTGACAGCTGTCACAGCGAGTGAATGAAAAAATCTCGCTATTGTTAGATTTATCGATAGTTCTTAGCAGATTCGGTAGGATACTCTATCTCAAATATGACATTTCCCTTTCTTTCTGAAAGTAATTAATATAAATTTGTTCAATACCGCTGAAATACCATCTGTTTGAGGAAGAATTCATCGTATTTTATGCCTCTATATTTTTTTCCATTGTGATATATGCATGATGGCAACTCCCCGCTCTCAAAAAATGGTAGCATATTTTAAAGGTTTCTAATGTCTTAGCACTGAAAAAAATGGTGAGGAAGTTTATTATTGACCAGTTACATGAAGGGTAGAGACTGAGAACCCAACTAACAAGGGCATAACCTTATAATGAGACTGCTGGGCAAAGAAATCAAATGTAAATATGTGATGGCAGCCTTGTATGCTGCTGTCGTTGAAAGTAGCTAAAGTGAGGCTACTTGAAAGTTAACGTTCTTTTCCTTTTCAAAGGTGTTAAGTGGTTTTAGATGCTGCGCCAGCCCACAAAGTCTGTTTCCATTTTTGTCATGTTTACAATGCCGTTTTCCTTTTTTAACACGTTTATTTCTCCCTTGTTATATGTAAATACAAGCAGGCAAAACTCTTTTAATGAAATAGACTATACGATGAATGTTGTTAAATGCAAAAGGTGTGACAAATTGGTGAAAAACATTATTATCTTGTCATTTTCTGTTATAGCAATTGTAGGTGTGCTTGTAGCAGACATAGTAAGCAAAAATATTTAGACACAGATGTGATAATATATCTTTTAGTGGAAGAATGTATAGCCTCAGAGTTTGAACAGCCGTCCTTGAATACCAAAGAGCTAGCATATACTTTTGCACTGGCTGTAGCTGAACCAAGGTTTCAGACATTTTACGCTGTACAATTAGAATGCTAGGGGAAAAAAAGACAATTGACATAAAAAGTTTGAGGCCAAGTTCTATTACTTGTTGGACTGTGAGTTTTTCAGCAGTTTGCTATCGTAAAGATAGTAAATAAATTTACGTTTTGAAAAATGCAAAATGAACAAATTATTTAAAATATAGTTGATTTTGGAAATCACTGGGGGGGTATGTCAGTAAGGCAAAATCTTTTGATACAATGCATCCTTGCGTTATACCAGCAGGGTATATGCTTTTGTCAAGATCTTTCAAAGATTTAGGAAGATCTGTAGATGATGGTGGAGAAACAGACCGCAAATGTACAAGGGGCAGAGTACCGTAGGTGACATGTAGGTACTGGAGTCAGCTTTAAATCCATGAAACGTATACTCAGGACAATCCATAACCTGTTTATAAATGAGGCTTGGTTTCCCTGTGTTTGAGTGATAGAAGGAGTTGTAGTTTAGGTAGAGCAGACGTCCATCCAAAATCATCCCTGTATAGTACATGACGCAGAGGCTGATCAGCCTCCCTCAAACAATTTTTTGAATTGCAAAATGCACCCAGGCTAAGCTTTGCTTATTGCAGTGGCTGGTTTGACTACCAGAGGTAAAGGCTGTACAACTATTGAGAATAATTTTCACAGATTTTGGATCGCAGCCCTGGTTCAACACATCTATCACAAAACTATCTGCAAGTGGCTTTACACTCTCCAAACTCTGCAGTTGTCATCAGCATATGCTCAGCTGACTTGTTGACAAATCCCATTGCTCAGGGAGTGTTTGACAGTGAAGAGAATGCCCAGATGTTGAGGCATCTTGAAAGATTTCTAGAGTTGAGACAGCTAGAAAGTATTTGCAGTCCCTTACTGTGTGCTTTATTTCTCCCATTTGATTTGGGAGTGACCGCCCTTCTGATTAAGAAGACAGAACAAAGCGTAGGTCTGTTTACTAGCCTCTGGTGTCTGTAGGCTTTTGGCTATGAAGCTCTGGGAAAGTGTCTTCTGAAATAGCTTTTAAGTGTAAAGAGTATACTTAAAGGTAAGATAGGTCTTTGCCACTTGGTTTTTAATAAGGCTGCTGATGGACCTAATGCCTGCTAGTTTCCAGGTATATTATTTAGGACTTCAATACGGAAACATTAATTGTAGAAGAAGTGAAAGAGGGGCAGACACCTATTCCACAGTACAGACATTTCTTGCAATATGTCCCTTGATCTTTTAGTTTTCTGTATTTCATTGCATATGAAAGAAGTCACTGCATGATTTTTCTAAGATACAGAGGGGACGATTAATAATGAAAGAATCTACTGTGAATATTTTGGCTTAGGGCGTGTCTTTCCTCTGCATCTTTGCAGGGATATTTCTTGAGAGGGTATTTCCCAGGGACTGTTAACTATCCACCCTGTGGGCTCACCACAGTGAAAAGCTAAAGGCATAGTTTTTCAGTTCGTACATTTTATTTAAATTATTTGAAACCTTATCCTGCAAGCATGTACATGTCAGAGTTAAATTGATCTTACAGTTGTTTATAGGATCAGCTCCTCATGTTTTCCTCTAGCTGAATTACTTTTCCCATGTACATCTTGAGATATTCATCAATTCACTCTATTTCTTGGAGACCAAAACTGTAGCAGCTAAATATTAGGAAAACTTTTCATTGGAATGCCTACTTATTCCTCTCTGTATATTTTTCACTTGGTTTGAAATAGAATAATATCTTTATTAATCAAGGAATTGAAAGGCTTTCCTATCAAGGAGTTGCCTGCTTTGAAGGAGAGGATGAGTTCTTTGCTATTGTAAGGGCATGTCATAGTAACCGGTAAGAGTTTGGTATTAATGGATGTTCTTTATTGTAGAGCTGCACCTGGTGTTGTTACAGTCAGCACAAGCACTGCAGAGTTGTTGGAGGTCATCATGTCCAAGACATTCAAGAACATTATCCTGAAATGTCTCGGCAGTTTCATACACTCAGCCATCTGTGGGCAGTGCTCTCATTCAGTGTATGTTTGAAAAGTCCATAGCACAGTCTGTCCCCGGTCTCCACTGAGCAGTTAACCATTACTGCAATATAAATAACATTCATCATCCTTTAGGTTGGCAGATAATAGCTGTACTGGGCCAGAGAGTATGGGGCTTTCTCACAAAAGACGACTGAAACAGAAGTCCGCAATACTGCTGTTCTCAGTACTGATCTCAATAATGTTAATTTTGAAGCTGACAGACTCAGGTGGGTGAGGGCAGCCCAGGCTGTCAGTAAGACCCAGAGCCCCCCTGGCACGCAGTTATGGGTTTTACGGGGCAGACCCCGTTGCTCCCTGGGCTGTGCCTCTCTCCTCATGGCTGCAGCCTGCTGGAGTGGATGCAGCTGCAGCTGCAATGCACATCCAGGGCTGTGCGATCGGGGCAAACAGTGCCCAGTCCTCTGGCCGGCTTTGTTTTCATGCCCACCTTGTTTTCTTGCCTATCTTCTGCTCATGACCTAGGCTGGTAAGGAATGAGAACACTGTAAAAGGGGAAAGCATGAACGAGGGAGACTGACCAAAAGCATCACGCCTCCAGCCCCCAGCTGACTGCCAGGACCAGCTGAGCTGCCTCCTCACAGACCTATTGTAATGAGCCTGGCTGAAACATCCTAATGTGAATTCTTCAGGAACTTAAAGATTTTGTAAAACGCAGAAGCCAGCAAAAGAATTCAGTGTATGTTGTCCTCCTTCCCCTCTGGCATTCAGACACACAGCAAGAGAATCACTTAGGGAAAGATATTTTGACTTAGTGCTTTCATTCAGCACATTATGTTAAATCATTTCAGCAAGAATACCTATTAGTAATCATTTCCAATTCCAGGGAGGATGAAGGAGGCATTTTGGCACATGACTCAGGAACCTGCTGGGCTTCTTTTTCAGGCTAGCAAAACTGAGAAACCATGGTGAATTCAGAAGTTTAGTCAAACAAGCCCGAAGTTTAATTCTGCATGAGTGGCTTTGACTGCAATGTGCCTGCACCCTGACCTGCAGACAGTCTCGAGCGCTGCTAGGCACACAGCCTGGTGGAGGGTTTGAAATGTGCACAGCTGTGCTAAACTGTTTGGGCTGCTTCCTACTTAAAGATAAGGTATATAATGAAAAGATAAATAAACCCTTATCCAGGTCCTGCTAGACAAAATGGAAAGATGCCCAACAGCTTCTGCGAGCATTAGATTGAACTATTCATGAAAATTAACGGCATGCAGAGCTAATAGGCTGTTCCTTGGCCTCAGAATTATATTGCACCTTCTGGGAACATATTGTAGCCTGCTGGTAGATGAGTCTGCTGCATCTGAACTCCCTTGGGGCCAGACTCCGCTTTGTTTGCACCCTGCTTGGGTGAACCCATGGAAAGGGAGGAAAGCAGCACAGAATCTAAATTGGTATACTGAAAAAAAAGC